TAATTGTAGCAACTTTATGCTCGTGTCATTTTTGTATGTTTGCAAAATATACACGATGATTTTTGAATATTCTTTTTGTCTTTAATATGATTATATATTTTTAAATGTTCTTTTATAAATTTATATTGATAATATATTTCGTTGTTGTTCCCGAAGAAGCACACATGCGTAAATAATACATGGCTCATGAAGAGTTAATGTTTCTAAATAATAATTTGTTGTTACTTCTGAAATAACACAATGTTATAGTTAATATTTCTAAAGAATATTACTTACTTCTGGAGAGTATAAATTATATTAGAATATTGACATATTGCTCTTGAAGAAACAATAATAAAATACATCGTGTTCAAAGTAGCACATGTTTTGAAGAACATATTATTTTAAATTAGTGTTTATCTCTAAAGGAAAACACATAACTTATATCATGTTGGTATTGACTATTTGATATTTAATCATATTCTTCGAAACTAAATGTATTTCTTTTTGTTTTATTATGTAGTTAATCAAATGACAAATATCACAAAATTTGAGTTTCCTGCACTTGACACATATCTGGCAAAAACTGTTTGTCATGAGTACTCGATGCTGATATCCATCTTGTCTCAAAAAGGTTTGAGAGAGACAATAAACGAATTCAATTTTTAATTATATTATTGACCTCGAAGTTTAGTAAGAGCACATACTCAACATATTCCGCTCCTTCCCAATCCACATGTATGTTATTTGTACACTTGAATATATATTAGATTGCTCATGATCGAGCTTTGACAGTGTGCGATGGTCATGGTGACTCTGACACTCAAGTCAAATGGTGAAGTAATACCTTTTTCATTGTACAGTCTTCTCACATTTTACAGAATGCATTCGTCAGAAACTTTAAGTCGACAGATTGGCATTACCTTAAATGTGATATTAGAGTTCAATTGACGTAGTCAATTATCGAATAGACATGAAAGGAACTTCCCTAACTGCATGTGCTTAGCTCATCACATCTCTCAATTGGGTGGAAAGCCGAGAATCGACAGGAGTGGGAGGCTTCTCAGATATTTTACTGGTAAAAGGTTAAAAGGCCTTGACTATTGGTTATGGGAAAGAGAAAGGAGAGACAATATGGATGCTAGTTGAAGAAAGAATATTATCAAGAGCAATCTTGTATTCAAAGTTGCATTACCTTTGGAACGTACCAAGTGTGTATTTTTATACTAAGGGAATGGATGTGATGTCCATTGGATGCTTCATACATGATTTCATCCTAATGGCTCAGTGGTAAAATTCAATTGCATCAATTTCAACTATCACTAAAAACTAAAAAGCAGTAAGCATAGGTCATAGACTTGCAGACTGAAAAGTTGGATGAACGTATTTGTTGCAAAGCTCTCGAACATACAGAGTATCTTGAGTCGAGGTGATGTCTATAGAAAATGCCTTTCACAGAATATATCAATCACCTCGAAAATATATTCCAATATGAGGTGGCACCTTACCACACCTTGGAAATAGTCACTTCGGATGAGGTGTTTAAAAGCTTAGTCTAATTGTCTATGAGGGCAAATGTGAAGGAGCGGGGCAAAGCGAAGAGTGGACCTTACGTGATCTCTTTATTTTTTTCTCAGTTCACTACCATATGATGAGCCGAGACGTACCATATATTCGTTAGGTTTCCTACCGTATCCCTGTATGATGATGTTAAATTTGGTTAATGATAGAAATCATGTTTGCCTCAACCTACGCCAACCAAGTTTGATTATGACCAGCTCCCCCACCCCACCACCGTCCCGCTAAATATCTATATATTCTAATTCCAAAGTTATGGATAAATACATGTGCGCTATATTCAAGATGATATATACTTATCAATCATTATCCATTGCTATTAAAAATTTTATATTTAGAAAAGACAAATAAATCATTTGATAATGACAAACTCTATAAATTTAGGAACATAATTATTAGTCTTCTCAGAAAGTAAAAAGAGAAAGAAAGAAATTAGTGTGCATTATGTACTTATCAATTGTAAGGCATATATTTGTAGTCTGTGAAGTATTCTAAATTTACTTCGTCAATGTGAATCAGGATTCACTTGACAAATGAACAAAGTTTTATGAGACACTTTGTAAGATCCCAATTTTCCTAATATNTAGTCTGTGAAGTATTCTAATTTTATTTCGTCAATGTGAATGAGGATTCACTTGACAAATGAACAAAGTTTTATGTGACACTTTGTAAGATCTCAATTTTCCTAATATTCAATTATATTTGTAATAAGATGAGTGATGAGCTAAATAAATGCGAAATAATGATCTACTAAAAAATTTCAATCCTGAATTTGTTGATTCTTTTATTGATATCTATGACGTTTACTATTTGTTTGATTTTTTTTTTTTTCCAATTTCAAATCTAATTACCAAATTTTTTACTTATTTGTAAGCATTTTCATATTCAATTTCAAGTACGAACTTTATATCATCTAAATACAATACACATTATGTAAAGTATGGCTTGAATCATGTATAAGTACTTCATCAAATGATTTCGGATCGTTTGACTGGACTTCTGCTTTTTGTAAAAGAATTTTCTTGAAAGTTAACTTATGTCAATTTCTTCTAAAAATTCTTGTAGCTNTAGTCTGTGAAGTATTCTAATTTTACTTCGTCAATGTGAATGAGGATTCACTTGACAAATGAACAAAGTTTTATGTGACACTTTGTAAGATCCCAATTTTCCTAATATTCAATTATATTTGTAATAAGATGAGTGATGACCTAAATAAATGCAAAATAATTAACAATTAATCAAAATTTCAATTCTGAATTTGTTGAGTCTTTTATTGAAATCTATGACGTTTGCTATTTGTTTGATTTTATGTTTTCCGATTTCAATTTTAATAACTGAATTAATTACTTATTTGTAAGCATTTTCATATCCAATCATAACTTTATATCATCTAAGTACAATACACACGAATTAATCATGTATAAGTACTTCATCAAATGATTTCGGAATGTTTGACTAGACTTCTGCTTTTTGTAAATTAACTTTCTTAAGAGTTAACTTATGTCAATTTCTTCTAAAAATTCTTGTAGCTCGACAAAAAATTATCCAAATGAATTTCAAAACCTTTGCCTAACGGACCATTCGAATACTTGCTTTTACGCCGAGTATTGTTTAATATATTCTTGACATCCCACGAATGCTTGAACGGCCTTTAACATCCGCAATTATCAACCATAGCATTCAAATGGATAGTCAATTAATTACAATAAGTAAACTATTAATTACAAATTTTATATTTTAATAGCTTGTTAGTCAACTCCTTGATATAGTCTCAACAATTTTTCTATGTTTAGTATTTATTGGTAATTTACTTATATATTTTGGATAAAATTAATTTAATTAGTTATTAGTAATTATCTCTTTGACCATGATAATCATTTAGTCTCGCCTCCATCCCCACCCACACACCCCTTCTTCCTATATAAACTCCTCCATAATCCAATTTTTCCTCTTTTCTAGTCTGTCTCTAAGCGATACATATATATAATCATGTGTTCTGTCTCTGAATCATCACAAGGGATTCAAACGGCCTGATCGTGAGTTTCGGCGAGATGTTAATCGACTTTGTGCCGACAGTCTCTGGCGTGTTGTTGGCGGAGGCGCCGGGATTCTTGAAGGCACCCGGTGGAGCACCGGCTAACGTGGCGATAGCAGTTGCGAGACTTGGGGGGAAGGCCGCCTTCATCGGCAACCTCCGTGAAGATGAGTTCGGTCATATGCTTGCCGGTATTCTGAAGGAAAACGGCGTCTCCACCGCGGGAATCCCCTTCGATAAAGGAGCACGAACTGCCCTCGCTTTCGTCACCCTACGCGCCAATGGAGAGCGTGAGTTCATGTTCTANNNNATGGAGAGCGTGAGTTCATGTTCTATAGGAATCCCAGTGTTGACATGTTGCTCACTCCCGATGAATTGAATCTCGAACTCATTAGTGGCGTGTTCAGTAGAGATTATAACTACGAAGCATATACACATTATGCACTTGTTTGAGCCCCATTTTTTTGCCAAAATGTATTTTAAAGTAGCGTTTTGATGGAGAATGTGTGGTTAAAAAATAAGGAAATTTTTTCGATTTATGTGTAAAATTATTTTATAGGAGAATGTGTGGTTGAAAATGAGTTTTAAAAAAATGAATTTTTGAAAAAATAGGGGCCAAACATACTCTATAGAATATGTTGAATATGTGGATTGTTTAACAATGCGCACATATAAGAACTACGAAGCATATACACATTATAGAACGCTGTTTTGAACAGTGTTCATGAGAAGAAAATTAGGAAAAATTGAAGCAACATTTATTGGTTGAGGAATAATTGAAGCTGATGTATCGTATTAGAAAAGACAGATTCATGGAGAAATACTACAATAATTTTATGAACATGGAGATCTCTATAAGGTTAAAAGGACAATTGTTTGCCGTGGTTAATGAGAAAGTTAACAAGATCAGAAATAAGAACAGACCTCAGACGTGGTACAATTGAAGATAAACTAGCAAAATGACAACTTCAATAGTTGGGGCATGTCTTGCGTAAATGAAGAAATTCTCTTTCAATAGAATGGTGTGGTCTCACCATATAAGTCGGAATAGAGGTTTATCCAACATTAGTATGGGATGTTGCTTAGAATGTTTCAGATATAGTTAGTAGCAAAAATTGATTCTCGTAAACTCGGGATTAATTAAAAATAAAGCCGATTAAAAATAAAGACTAGCTTGTTGCTATTATTGTATACGATATTTTGAAATTAACATGATACATATGGTAGGGATATGTTGAGCACAAGTGTGTGAACTTTTGACATTTCAAGAATGTAATAAAACTTCGATAAATTAATTTGTGATAAATTAATAATCGCTTTTAAATATTAAATTAATTTTTGAGTCTTGAGTTGGACCAATGTGCTAAATTAATATTCTTGCTTAAATACATGAGATAATAAATTATTTTTTTTAAACTTCTTAGGCCCCATTGAATATGTAACTTAATAATTTATTAAAATGACATAAAAATTTATATGACATTAAGAATTCTTTTGATTATCTTATTCTCAACTTCATAACTTGTTCTTGTAAAAGAAAAAACTTGACAACTTCTTTTCTTAATTCTTATCCTTCTCAAAATATGCATCTATAGTCGTTTGCTTTTCTAGTTTGCCTAAATCAAACTCAATCTTATCTTTGATCCTGTGGAGTGCGTACACCACATTTGGTATATTTTTTCAGTTTGTAGCATGGTTTAAGATCACTACTGCTCGAGAGACCTCTTCATAAGAAACAATGGTAAAATACAAATGTCATAAGGATCATGATCTTCATCATTAGCTGTATCCATTACGCCTATAATAATCTCTTCATCAGCCAAGTTTCCATTATTGCATCATTTTTGATCCCTTGGATAATTCAAAAGAAGTGCCACATTCATAGGCTTTCTATAATTTAGCCTAGAAATGACTTGATATAATTCTTGGTTCCGTCATTGTCACCACCTTGTGTTCGAGAAGTTGTGCTTTCAACTGAGCAAATCTTACAATACCGTAAACAATTTGGAATGGTTATTGTCATGACATCAATGGTCGAAGCCATATTACTAAGTTAAAAGTATTCAGAATTACTATTTATTTATTATTATTATTATTATTTTTTTTTTTGGGATTTGTTGCTCGTGCCTCATAGCTCCCAAGGTGCTAGCATAAAATCGACGTCTATAATAAGTTTTCAATGCTTGAATGATCTCATCATCACATGGTTGAATTTTTGATGTGGTATTAATGGGTAATTGGCGCAAAACGTCCATACCTTTCGTTTTTTGGCGCAGAACGTCCCTACCTTTGCCATTACATTTAAACGTCATTTTTGTCCCTTTTTGACCATTTTACCCTTCTATTAAATTAAAACAAAAACAAAAGAACAGAAAAAAACAGAATAAATTCCAATTATGGGTCCAAACTTTTAAAA